GATACAGTGATGGTAGATAGTAGTATTAGGGGAAGGGATAAACCTAGATTGACGTGAACTAGTATAGTAAATAGAGATATAAATTTCCTTAATTTAACTAAAGAAATGACCTTGAATAGAGTCGAGTGAAGAAAAAGGATTCATGCAGCCGACCCCATTTGTTGAGATTTAAAGCTGGCACTACAAAAAATTAAGGTTTTGGAAACCAGAATTTAGGGACAAAATTATTTTTTAGAGACCAAATATTTTGTGGTGAAAAGTATCGTTTTTATATTTTTAGCAACGAAAATTAGACATTATTGATGAATTATTATCCTTTTGGGACCAAATTTTTTGTCTCAAAAAACAAACCATTTTGAGATCAAATTATTTTGTTCCTAAAATCCTATTTATTAGCGACATTTTCAAAATTTTGTTGATAAAGCCTTGTTTTTGACTTTTCGGGACGATCTTTTCGCGACTATCCATGTGACAATAGAAATTGGTCCCTAAATGTCTTTTGTAACAAAATTTTCACTTTTATAAACCAAAACATTTGGTCTCTAAAATTCTTATATGTTATAGTGCATGCTGCCAGGTAAAGTGTGCAGCAGATAGCTAACAGCATGTAACCTATATGCATGGGAAATAGGGGGTTGTTGCCACATAATATTGGACTTCATATAATGGACTTCACCGATTTTAATATGTAAAAATATTTTATAAACAAAAAATGTACAAATTGGACTTCACCAATTATGTATTTTGAAAAAATACTCATTAAAAAAAAATTGTTACAATTTGATTGACGAAAATGTTTTGTTGTAATTTGTGGAATGTAATAATTGTATTAATTTTTTTTTTTTAAAAAAAAAAGTCTTTTCAAAACTCATTACGAAACTATTTTCACAACTTCCCTGATAATTGTAAATATTTCAAAACTCTTTTCAAATCTTCATTCAAAACTCATGAACACATCAATACCAAATTCTTTGCAAAACTCTATTTTCCCCAAAAAATATTTAAAAATAAATCAAATATTGGACTTCACCAATTTTGTATTCCAAAAAAGTTATCATAAATAAAAAAACTATTAATTTATGAAAATGTTATGTTGTAATTTGTGAAATGTAATCAGTTTGTTTGGTTTGGTTTTTCAGGATTCACTTATCAGAAAATTAAAATTTTAAGTTTTTCGTATTTTTTTTGCACTGAATTATTTTAATATTCTAAGCAATTTATTTAAGTATTAGATACACCTAATATAAATATACTGAAAAATAGAATATTTGTGAAAAGAATCTTTAGAAAATTAAATAGCCAAAAAAAAAATGTTAATCAATGCAGTTATTTTCTGCGTTGTTGTGTAATTATTAATTTTGTAATATAATTAACAAAAAGGAGGGGTTCGGTCAGAAAGGAGGGGCTCGGTCAGAAATTTGAAAAATAAATAAATAATAAATAAATAAAATAACAAAAAGGTGGGGGTAAAAAGGTCATTTCACCTCTTCTGTGATTGCAACATAGCCTTAGGTGTGTACGATAAAATGGTAGGCTTTTTTGATTTTTTTAATAACTTTTTAAATTTTAAGCTAAAACTTTCGTATGCCAAATGAGGCCTAATTACTAACACAATTCATAATTAGTACTAACAAAATCTCATAACTAAACACCAACATAATTCATAATTAATATACTACAAATACTCATAACAGCATGTAATACACACCTTTTAACAAAGTACCTACCATAAAATTTTGGTGTACGTCCTATTATGTGGACTTATTATCTAATAGGTCATATGATAATTAACAACGTTTTTCATGAAACACTATTAAGAAGTCATTAATTGTTAATTTTTAGCAAGAGTTTAAATTATTTTTTTTTTACAAAAATGTTATTAAATATAAGTTTTAGCGACGGTTTAAAAAAAATCATCACAAAAAAGTCACTAATTTTTAAATTTTAGTGACAGTTTGAAAAATTTATCATAAAAAAGTCACTAATTATAAGTTTAAACAACAACTTATAAAAATCATAATAAAAAAATATTACTAATTATCAATTTTTAGCGATAACTTTCTTTGAATTAGTTTTCAATAAGATTTAATAAGAATTAAAAGTCCAATCATTAAGACCTATTAATAATTTATCCTAAAATTTTTCCTATATAAAGGAATGAATTAGACTAATAAATCAGTACCCACTTCCTCTCATCCTTCTCTTCTCTTTATCCTTCGTACTTGTTTCTCCTCCTTTACAACAAAACGAAACCAAAAATGGAGCGATTGATATGGTTGTTCCAATTCCTTTTGTTTTTCATGCAATATCATCAGGTTTCTTGTTCATCATCTGTCTCTTCTTTTTCTACTTGTACACAGCATTTGTGTCCACATGACTAGAGGTTTGCATTATGTTTACTTTAGAAAGCTCTGCTTCTTTGGGGTGTGGCGATTTGGCTTCTCCAAAGATGTTATCTTGGAACGAGAGTTGTACTGATTGTTGTTCGTGGGAAGGAGTCACGTGTGATGGTCTGACGGGTCACGTGATTGGGCTTGACCTCAGTTGTAGCCAGCTCCACGGCAGTATCCATCCTAACAGTAGCCTCTTCCAACTCTCTCACCTCCAAAACCTCAATCTCGCCTTCAATCACTTCAATTACTTCCACATTCCATCAGCATTTGGTCAATTTGCCAGTTTGACACATCTCAACGTATCTTATTCCAGTTTTTTAGGCTCAATCCCGTCAGAAATTCGCCACCTGTCCAAACTAGTTTCACTCGATCTCTCCTGTAGTGAACCACTAAGACTTGAACCGCACAATTTCAGAATGATGCTCAAAAACCAAACCCAATTGCAAGAACTTGTCCTTTCTTATGTAAACATATCTTCAATTGTACCGATGTCTTTGACGAATATGTCTTCTTTGACATATCTCGATCTTACTTTCACTGGCTTGCATGGGAAATTACCGGATAGCATTTTTCACCTTCCAAACTTGCAAATTCTCTTTTTAGGAGGCAACCATGATCTCACTGGTAATTTACCCAAAGTAAATTGGAGTAGTAGTAGTTCCCTCGAGACGTTGTATCTCGGGTCTTCAGGTTTTTCTGGAGAATTGCCTGATTCAATTGGCTATCTCAAGTCTTTGAATTACTTGGATCTCAGCGATTGCAAATTCTCCGGGTCCATTCCTGAATAACTCGGGAACCTTACACAGATCACTCATATATACTTGCGGGGAAATAGTTTCAATGGTCAGATCCCATTTACTCTCTCAAATCTCAATCAACTCATTAACTTTAATCTTTTTGGAATTAATCTTGATGGAAAAATTCCTAATTTTATCGGTAAGCTGATAAAGCTAGAGGTTTTAGCACTTGGAGATAACAATTTCAACGGTCCATTTCCATGTGGGGTAGCCAACCTGACAAAACTTGGTATTTTAGATATACCAAGTCACCAAGGATCCTCTAGAGTGTTTTTTTTCTAAAGTTTCCTAAAGTGGTGTATTGGGTGGTTGAGATTTAACGTTGAAAAATTGATGTGACTTGTCATTAAATTTCAACCACACAAAGCGCCACTCTAGGAAACTTTAAGAAAAAAAAACTCTAGAGGATCCTTGCTCATATCAAGTAGTGCAGTGATGGGTCCCATTCCCTCCATCATGAGTGGGCTACACGACCTACAAGCACTTGACTTGCACAATAACTCACTGAATGGGACACTACCATCTTGGTTGTTGAATCTTCCATCATTGACAGAATTAAACCTGGGTAGTAATCGACTAACTGGCCAAATTCCTGAGTTCCAGCATAAATCAAAATTGATGTACATTGACTTGAGTCATAATGAATTACATGGCCCCATTCCACAATCAATTTCAAATCTTGTGAATTTGACCAAACTTGTTCTTTCGTCAAATAATTTTAGTGGTGTTGTGGAGCTAGAAACATTCTTAAATCTAAAAAATCTTGATGGTCTTGATCTGTCATACAATGGTCTGTCAGTGAGCACCATCAACAATATCAACAATACCTTGCCTAATCTTAGGTTCTTCCATATGACTTCTTGCAAGATAAAGGAATTCCCTGATTTCTTTAAAGCCTTAGAGAATGTCGAACAACTAGACATTTCCAACAATGAAATTCGTGGGAAGATTCCAAAATGGGTTGGCGTCATCGGGAAGGCTTCATTGCGGTACTTGAATCTTTCCCACAACTTTCTAACAGGTATAAACCAATTTCCTTGGAAGAATCTTCACGTTCTTGATCTTCGTTCCAACTTGATTCAAGGACAACTTCCAGCTCCACCACTCTCTGTATCTTACTTCCTCTTCTCAGAAAATAAACTTACTGGAGAAATTCCTTCTACAATTTGCAATGTGAGTTCCCTTTCCATCCTTGACTTGTCTCACAACAACTTGAGTGGTGCAATTCCACAATGTTTGGGATACTTCAGCAACGTTCTATTTGTATTAGATCTGCAGTTCAATGCCTTTCAGGGGAACATCCCCATGATATTTGGAAAGGGTAATCAATTGGAAATTCTTAATTTGAATGGAAATCAGTTTGAAGGACCAGTTCCACGATCCTTAACCAATTGTAGACAGTTAAAAGTTTTAGACCTCGGAAACAACAAGATAAATGACACTTTTCCATACTGGTTGGGGACACTTCCAGAGTTACGGGTTCTTGTCTTGAGATCCAACAAATTTCATGGTCCAATAGACAATTCCAAGCCAAACCTCTCTTTTCCCAAACTCCGAATTGTTGACCTCTCCCACAATAATTTCACTGGCTATTTGCCAGGGAGATATTTCAAATTTTTCGAAGCTATGAGGAATAAGACTATGCCAAATGAAAAATATTTGACTGTTAGATCGTATTATCAAGCTTCTATTGCAGTGACAATGAAGGGGTCATATATTGATTTAACGAGAATTTTTACTCTTTTCACAGCAATTGATTTATCATCTAACAAATACAGTGGAGATATTCCAAATGTGATCGGAAGGCTTACTTCTCTCATAGTGCTTAATTTATCTCATAATAGCCTTACGGGCCTTATTCCATCATCTTTAGGAGACTTGATAGAGCTGGAATCACTAGATCTGTCTTCAAACCAGCTTATTGAGAAAATTCCTAACCATTTATTGAGTTTGACATTTCTTGGGGTCTTTAACCTTTCATGGAACCATCTCGATGGACCCATACCTTGGGGCAAACAATTTGATACATTTGGAAATGATTCATATGTTGGGAACTCCGGATTATGTGGGTTTCCATTGTCAAAGGAATGTAAAGATAATCAATCACAAGTTCAGCCAGGGGTGCTATTACAACAAGAAGATGACTCAAATTTTGTAAGTGGATTTACTTGGGAAGCCGTGGTGATGGGGTATGGCAGTGGACTGGCATTGGGATTGTTTATTGGATTTCTCATGTTCTTAACTGGAAAACCAAAATTGTTTGTAAGAATTGTTGAAAGGAAAAAGCATAAAACGCTGAAAATGTTGAGACAAGGTGGAAGAAGAAATTAGCAAACATGGATTATGCTTTCAGGTATGTGATGCTCATTGTTAGTTTTAATGATTTTAATTTGTTAGTTATCATGAATGTATTACACTCTCTGGTACTTGTTGCTTTTTTCTGGTTCTATATCTTTAAAAGTTTACGATCTAATTACAGAATAAGTAAAAGGTTAATACATATATTCTGCTTAGGATCCTGCCTACTGCACATACAGTTTTTTTTGTGCAAGAGTAACACTATGAGCAATCCACTCAAGAACCAGCAGTTATACATATAGAATTGTTTCATTGACCACAACCAAAACCAAAATAAAAAATTTGTTTTGCTGTGACTAGCTATTAAACCGTTGCTAATGTTAATGCAGTTAGTTTCAAAAGCTAGTTTTGTACTGAAATAAACTATATGATTGGATTTTCTATTGGTCAATCTTGATATATTTTGCCAAACACATTAAGTAGATTATTACAATTTTGTTTTCTTCAATTTATGCTATACATCCAGATCATCTTGATTATTGATTCGCTGCAAAATTTTGTTTGGTGACTTCAGAAATCTGCATAGTTCACCTTTAGAAGGAGCCAATCTTCATAGACCAATAATTCACCTCATTTTCCACCTTTTATTAATGTTCAGATACATGTATTATATGCCTAAAATATTTGAATGAAAAGAGCTGTGATCTGCTTTTTTTTTTTTTTTCTTTATAAATATTCTTTATGTAATTATAGTATGAAATTTTAGTCTGATCAAAATAGTCCATGGTATCTACTAGTGGAAAGAATTAATATACTAGTTTGCTACCAAAGCATTTTCTAAAAACTTACTCATTGATTGGAAACTTGTATAGTTGATTCTGACGGAATATCTCATGCAAGACTAATTTTTGTTTCCTTCAATAGAAAAATACAATCAAACTATGTGATTCTCAACAATTGCTCACCTAGTCAGTTGCAAACACAAACAAAAATATTGTAATTGAGGGGGACAGAATTAAGGACATCAGAGCATTAAAAAGTTTGTTGAGTTTCATTAAAAAAATTATTAAATACATCTATTGAGATTACAACTATGCCAACTAACTAGACTCATTTTTCACACTAACATTGGAAACAATTTGCAGAGTATGGCATGGGGGACATGGCTTCCACACTAGGGGATGTATACAGCTTTGGAGTTCTTTTACTAGAGATGTTTATAGGTAAGAAACCAACTGACAACTAACAATTGATACTTACCCAAAAAAAAAGAAACCAACTGACGATATGTTAAAGGATCATCTAAATCTTCATAACTTCGTTAAGAATGCATTGCCTAATCGAGTGATGGAGATTGTGGATCCTTGCATCCTATTGGGGCATGACACAAGAAGGTGGATTAAAGACTGCATGGTTTCGATTCTACGAATTGGGGTTGCATGTTCAATGGAATCGCCAAGAGATCGAATGGAAATGAGGAGCGTTATTAGTGAATTGCATAAGGTGAAAAATACTTACATGAATGAAGGGTTGAACCAAGACTAGGAAGTTGGAAGAGGTTTTGCAACATGAAAACCAAAGGTGTGTAGCATACCCTCTTGACCTATGCATATGCATACTAAAATAGAAAATGCTAAACTCAAAAAAAAAAAAAAAATTATTTTGAATTTCTTAGCACTATACACAGAGACATGAATTTTGCCTATATTTATTAATATGGCCCTTACTAAATTTGTGACTAGTGGTAAGAAAATCTGATGAGAAATTCATGTATATATAACATTACTCCTACCAAAATACATCTTTCTCTCCATTGAAGCATCTCAATTTCATTTTCTTATTTTCTTTTTCTTTTTTTATTCTAATCAATTCATGTAGCAAATATGAGTTAGTAGCTTAAAGTGAACTAAAGCATGTTTATTTTTTTGTTGATCAAGGTTACTTCCAAGGTCCTCCATAAATGGTTACCTTAACAATATGCTACTTCAACAGCCAGTAGAATACAAGCGGTAGCTTTATGTTATTGTTGCCTCGGCAATCTTTAATCTATTGATTGATAAGTAACTATCACTTTCCTCCTTTGGTTAGATTGTATTATATAAAACATATGGTCATGTGGGATGTTATGTGTCCAGCTAAGATTGTGTGTTTGGGATTACCAATATTTATTCCTGTTAAATTAAAACTATCATTTCGTTGTATCTTGACTTTTCCTTGAAATTGCATGTCCATGTATCAAAAATTATTTGTTTTGTAGCTTTGTTTGACATTATTATAATTTGCCTTTTAGTCATGGTAACTCTGTGTAATATAGACTCATGCACTACTAGCACTAGCACTAGCACTAGCACTAGGAGTCCCACCAGGACATATATATGTGACAATCAAACTATCATGTTATATAAGCTCTATATTGCATTGGAAACAAAGGAAAATATGTAAAAACAAAATCTTGCTATGGGTGTTTTTGAAGATCTCAATTGAGCCAAATATGCCTTGTCATATGCTACAAAGAATCAAAATTCAAAAATACATATGTTAGAAGAGACACATTACATAAAGAAATAAAAGATCACCGACTTGAGGGGCTTAATTCCACCAGACGACTCTGTCTGACTCTAGTAACAAACAGACAAAGTTTTGGAAGGTATATATGCATACCTTTGTGGCTCAGCATAAAAAGCGTCTAAGATACTGAAGTGATCGGGTCCAACATCCTGCCGCTTCTCAATAGGTTCAGAAAAGTTGTCTTGACAACACTGATGTTTCCTTCAACACAGAAATGAGACTTTTCTTAGCTGTTGGCTGCGCATCAGAATTGGAACTGTCCTTTTAACTCTTCATCCACAATCTCTTTGATAAAAGTAGCAATCCACAATCTCTTTGATAAAAGTAGCAATCCACAATCTCTTTGATAAAAGTAGCAATCCACAATCTCTTTGATAAAAGTAGCAATCCACAATCTCTTTGATAAAAGTAGCAATCCACAATCTCTTTGATAAAAGTAGCAATCCACAATCTCTTTGATAAAAGTAGCAATCCACAATCTCTTTGATAAAAGTAGCAATCCACAATCTCTTTGATAAAAGTAGCAATCCACAATCTCTTTGATAAAAGTAGCAATCCACAATCTCTTTGATAAAAGTAGCAATCCACAATCTCTTTGATAAAAGTAGCAATCCACAATCTCTTTGATAAAAGTAGCAATCCACAATCTCTTTGATAAAAGTAGCAATCCACAATCTCTTTGATAAAAGTAGCAATCCACAATCTCTTTGATAAAAGTAGCAATCCACAATCTCTTTGATAAAAGTAGCAATCCACAATCTCTTTGATAAAAGTAGCAATCCACAATCTCTTTGATAAAAGTAGCAATCCACAATCTCTTTGATAAAAGTAGCAATCCACAATCTCTTTGATAAAAGTAGCAATCCACAATCTCTTTGATAAAAGTAGCAATCCACAATCTCTTTGATAAAAGTAGCAATCCACAATCTCTTTGATAAAAGTAGCAATCCACAATCTCTTTGATAAAAGTAGCAATCCACAATCTCTTTGATAAAAGTAGCAATCCACAATCTCTTTGATAAAAGTAGCAATCCACAATCTCTTTGATAAAAGTAGCAATCCACAATCTCTTTGATAAAAGTAGCAATCCACAATCTCTTTGATAAAAGTAGCAATCCACAATCTCTTTGATAAAAGTAGCAATCCACAATCTCTTTGATAAAAGTAGCAATCCACAATCTCTTTGATAAAAGTAGCAATCCACAATCTCTTTGATAAAAGTAGCAATACTCTCTCAGCATGGTTTCTGTGAATAATTCCCATTGAACTCTGCAAGAACTCCACCATCTTCTGACTGCAATTCCCAAGAAATTGCAAGACATCAAAGAAAATCCTTCTCAATATGGAATGTTTGAGGTTCATAGTTCGTGTATTATATAGTTTCATTCATTTCATATTGAAAAATGTAGTTCTGAGTTTTGAAGTACAGTACTATTCACAATTCAGTTACTATAGCAATGACCATGCTCGAGGCGCAATTACAAAGTTCAGGAAGATCAATTGAATTCACTTCATCGTTCCTCATCCTTAATACAAGACAATAAATTAACAATATATTTTTATAAAGAACACAACAAAAGTTAGATTCCAAGCACTATAAATCTACCACAATCAGTTGTCTCAAATTTATTATTATTATTTTTAATTTCAATTCACATAGTTCAATTAGAAATGTCCATCCAAATCTGTCTATAGTATAGGGGGATAAGAGATAGTTTCTTTAAGTGGGTGGGAAGGTGGTTGTAGGCACTAACAGAGTGAGCACAAAGGGGAATACTACATTTGTGTTTAGCTTGGTTTTGGGAGATAAATTTTCAAAAAAAAATTTGGGGAAAGACTTTATAAATTTCTTTGGTTTGTTTGGTTGAATATTTTGGAAATAGTTTTGGAGTATGGGAGTTTAGGATGATTTGATATTTTATTGTAGTTGAGTAGATATGTGGGAGAGAAAAAGTAATTGATTGATGTGTAGGAAATAGTGATTTTGGAAAAAAAATTTCCAAAATCACAAAACCAAACAAAATTTTAGAAAAACAATTTCCAAAATTTATTTCTCAAAGACAAACCAAACAAGGCCTTTTATCTCTGTAGATTCTTTTGAGCTGTGCAACACCCTTCCTCTCCACCAGCTTAAACCCTAGAGAGAGAGAAAGGAAAAAAACTACTATTGTCAGCGGCGGCGAAGGATAGAGAGCGAGAGTGGGGATATCAACAGCAATGCAGCCAATGGATCCCATTTTTTGTAGTATGGGATGACAAGGTTCAAATTAATCCCAAATTCAAATACTAATTAGAGAGACATGAGTTTGATTAATTAATTTACTCGGAATTTCCATCGAGGAAGTTCTGAAAAATTGCAAAAGAGACTTTTGGGGGTTGGATTGGGAGAGGAAAAAAATAAAATGGAAAATTACAATGACCTCCCCCAATAAACGTACACACCATAGATAGCCCCAAGTTGTTGG